CGCCCCCCCCCCCCCTCGGGTGTTTGCCATCGGGGTTGGGTTTTCGTCGCTTGGCAACGACGTTGTAAAATATGCCAATTCACTTCGTGAACTCGGCAACCAGGTTACCGTTTGTTTTTTTTACCTTTTTTTTTTTTTTCAGTGACCATTATGGTGGTCGAGTAGATCATGTTGTGCGGGGGGGACAACCCTCACTCCGCGCAAGGGGAATGATCGCACCACGTTGTGTTAAATTGGTCAAGCACCCTCGAGGCAGTTGCACAGTGCAAACAACTGTCTCTGGAAGTGAAGCATCAGAAATAAAGTAAGGCATACGCAGCTGTCATCCGTACGCAAGGAAGTAAGCACAAGGTGCCGAACACCCTTAGCAGAATGCAGCGCANCCCCCCCCCCAACACTACCACCGTCGCGCTATGTTTTCGTGTTGCGGTGGTGCTTCCTCACGTCGCCCCCGAAAACCTCTCTTGTTGTCTCCACCCTCTTTGTTGTTTTTTCTATTTCCGGTTGGGGCAAGGTCTTGACCTTCCCATGTTGTGCGTGTAGGGGGGAGGGTTTGTGTGTCTTTGGTTAACGTCAACCACGATTACCGGCTGACCCCATGCAACAGACGACTGTGTTGCCATGCAGCAGGACTAGAATCATGAACACGCTTTTCTTTCTTTCTAATCCGCGGGCTCCCCCAACAAGGGGGTACGCGGACGAGAAGTTTGGGCCCGGCACCTCATTTCTTTCGCTCTCATCCTTTAGGGTATTCGTTGGGCCCCTTTTTGTGATGGTCGTGTCACGTACGCTGCGGAGATCGGCACATCCGGCTCGCAAAGCCTAAACATTTTAGCGCGTTGCTCCATCATGCGTATCCCCAACTGTTCCTGATTCCTCTTCGTAAGCCCATGCCGCGAAGGCGTAATCTTCCTCCTTTTGGTGTAGAGTTGAAGAGTTCCCTTCAAGAACTTGCTGATGGCTCTCCACGCACTCTCGCCTTGCCTGGGCGCAATCTCCCCATGCCGTGCTGCCCGCCAACTGTGTGTGCGTGTGTATGCAGGTCGAAGAGTCATCGTACAAGGCGCAACAACGGCAAGCAGTGGTCCCGTACTTCCTTTAGCCCCTGCGCGCGCTCTACCCCCTTCCCCGTAGGAGAGGGAAGTGGGAAGTAAATACCATCTCGTTTCAGGTTGTATCCTTTTTTTGTATTTTGCTTTCACGGCGGATGGTCGGCGTTGGAGGGCAGGCAGCTGGCTCGCTTGTCGCTGTCGTTGTTCATGCTTCGGAGGTACCTAGCCGTATGTATGCAAAGCCATAGCGACATGGAGCAGCAAGTTCCTGCGTGATGCTTTCTTCCGCTGTTTCTTGCCGTGTTTGGCGCTGCTTGTCAAGCAATTTCGGCAGGTTGGCTACTATTTATGTACGGACTGGTACTGGTGCTGCGCCGGCACTACACTCTCTGCTGCCGTTGCGGGTGGTAGGACCCCGTTTTTCCGCCGCTTCTCTCTCTGCCGCCGGCAGCCTACCTCTGCTTGCCATTTTTCCGTCTACAGGTCCGGCCAGCGGTCGGTGTAAGGTTGGGCCGACCGGTGTAATGACATGTCCAGACTTTGGCTGGGTTGGATTGGACTGACTCTGTGTATGCATGTTTCTGTACAGATTTCATGCCGCATGCCGCCGAGCGGCGAAGAGTATCTAAAAAGGCTGACCTTGACGAGGTTGACCGTTGTTTGTGCTACCGGAGCAGCAGGCGTACTTGGCGGGCTAAGATTGTTACATTTAGCATTTTTCTGTGGACACGCTGTTGTTGTATTAATCTTGCCGAGTGGGGGTCGACATTCGTTCCACTGCTGTTCCCCGTCCTGATAGCCGTTGGAGGTTTTTCATCTCCCTCGAAGGGGCGGATGTAGTGTATGTGCCAAAGACGCGTGATGTTGACTTTGGGTGTACGAGACTAAGCCACGATCTGTTTTGGAGCATCGATTCGAAGAGGTGCCCGCGCACTGTCCACCGCCTATGTAGCTCGTGGGGCATGTGCCCTGTGATACCTTCGGCAGGGGTCGTCATTGATCGTTGCAAGCTTCTACTGTATGTTGATCATACAATTGTAGATCGATCTAACCCATGTGAAGCGCGCGCGAGAGAGTAGATCATGGAGGAAAAAGAGCCTCATCTCCTTACGTTCTTGTGGCCTGAGTGCTTCTGTGTCAACCATGGTGACGAGCAGGCCACCTTTGCTGCACCACAGCAGCAGTCCACCTTCGAGATATTTGAGCTTGGATTCCGAGCCGCACTTGCTGGCAAGAGGAGAGGTGACAATGTCTATTTGACTAATGATATTCGGCTCGCTCTCTTCTGGCACAAAACTGCTGTTGTAAATCCTATCTACCAGGAAACCAGGTACAGCAGTATCGTTACGTCGCACCTTCGCCAAAAGTTACTTGTGAGGGTTCGTTGCACAAAAATTTCCGGAGTTCTCTTTCGAGCAGGTTCGACATTGGATGCCGAAATGACCCTCCGACAGCCATGGTCTGATACATATCCGCCATGATACATAGAGGTTGATTCCTACGGCCGGCACCGTCGTAAAATGTTCGATGGGTTGCCAAGTCCTCCAACGTCGACTTCACTCCCTCGACCCTCGACGTGAAGGCGGGGAAACGTAAACAACGACCGTGCGTTGCAATCAGCCAACAGCAGCAAGTACAGAGTAGCAGACTCGGTACAGAAGGAAATGCACAACTCCACACTATTGTTCTCAGCCGTAGGGGTGCGCAGACATGTGCTCCTCACTTATTCGCCCCTGCTGCCTGTATTAACAAGTGCTGTGTACGCACTGAACGACACGGACACGACACAGCAGAACTTTCGAGATGACAGAAATTGTTTCGTATCCAGGCATGTACCCACTACAGCAGTATTACGTGTCCACATTCATGACTCACGGGCGACGGAACAGCGCTGGGAAGAACGCCGTTTACGTACAGAGAGGGCTAGAGCGGGGAAGCGAGAGAGATAGACTGACAGACAGATAGACAGACAGCGATAGCGCGTGATAACCCACCCCACTCCTTTAGTGGTTTGGTGGGCAATCATCAGGCAAATAATTATTCTCAATACCTTGGCGGGAATGCTTTCGATTGGCCAAAACCAACGGCACGCGTTTGTTGTTGTTCGTTGCTCTCGATCTCTCTCTGCTGCTGCCCCATCGTGGCCAAAACAAGTCCGGCTCGGCTCCCCGCAAATACGCAAATACACACACCACTGCACGCTGTGTAGTAGCTTGTACGACCCTCCTTTCCCCAAGGCTGCTCTGTGGCAACGGCCCACAGCAGCAGCAGCAGAGGTGTCCAGCGCAGCGCACGCTACCTCGTCGCTGTCGCTGAATCGGTCACGTAGCTCCGTCTCAACCCTGGAGCGACACACACTGCGGGACAATAGCTCACGGGACGACTGACGTCGGTAGTAGGCTGTGGCGCAGCGCGATGCAGCAGCTTGGCGAGCGAGAGGCCGTCCTGGCACTAGCCATCACCCTGCCTCTAGGCGCACTGGTGCTCGGGTTCTGCAAAGGTAGGGACTGACACAACCACGTGTTGCGTTCGTTGAACGAGATCCTCTGATTTGACGTGTGACTCTACAGCAGTAGTTCCGATGTTGGCAACAGCGCACCTACCTACACAGCACAGCAGCGTTCGCGGCAGGGTTAGCTGCCTAGCAGCCAGGTGTCCGTGGAAGGAACATTGATCTATCGAGAAGGACTGGGCGTAGTAGCTTTGTAGTTTGTTCTCCAACCCCATGCGCCTGTTCTCCGTGGTTCAAAAACGCACATGCCGCATCATCGGCGAGAAGACATGAATTTCCATGCACACCTTATTTTTCCGCGGCACTTCACACGATGTTTTCGCGCCGCCTCTAACCGCTGCAGCAGCAGCACAGTAGTGAGTGCAAACTCTTTCGATATCCGTGTGGGATCCACTCAACAGCTTCGACATAGTGGGTAACTTTTTATCCGCGTCGTTCGTAACAGAAGGCTAATGGCAGACCCACACGGTTTGTTGGCAGCGAGAGAAGGTTCGTATTTTTTGAACTGCAGTAGACGTACATTGCTTGTCGCCATGAAAAACACGGATGAATTGGTGCAACATACGCAAGTGCCAAGGAAAGCCTGTGCAAGGGATATGTGGAGGGGTTGACGTACTGTAGCGTGTCTCTTTCGCCGCGAAGGAGAAAACGGCCTCACGGGAGGATGGTTTCTGTTACAGGAGTAGAAGTCGGAGAGTTGGCGTTTGTCCACTGTCAGAACTTCTTGTTTGTGTTTGACTGCTGCCAACTTCCCGAGGTGGTTTGTACCCACTTCCATAGCAGTATGTGGTTGTTTCATCTGTGGGTGCCCTCTCCAACAAGAGAGTGCAAAGAATCTTCCGCTTGCCAAACAATATCACTCGTGCGGTAGGCGTGTTGCTTTCTCCTCTTGTACCAAGGTGGTACAGTACTGCTGTATCTTTTGAACCCGAAATCAAATCACCAGTGTTGTGTAGACCACACAGATAGCGCCCGCCGTCAAGAAAATTTATGTTAAGAAAAAAGGCACAAGTTTTGAAGACAAGTGTAAGAAAAGAGGGCTAAGAAACTTAGCTCAATCTCGGCCACAACGTAAGAAACACCCCAATAAGAAACATGGTGGTGCGATACCCCCATGACATCAGAAATCTTCGGTGCTCCCACCCCCCTCCCTAGCTGAACAGAAGTGCATTATTTTTTGTTAGGGGGCAGAGTCGTTATTTTCGCGCTGGCCCCCTCCGCCCCTGCTCTTCACTGTGCTGCAGTGTAGTACTGCCACACAATGCGGACAACCACATACTCTCCGCTGTTGTACGGCTTTGGTGGCACTTTCCACCGCTTCTCTTGCGGGCTTGATGAAGTGGATTGTCCTCAGAGATCAAAAGACAGAAAATAGAACATACGAAGTACCTGTCAGAAATAAGAGAATCGGGAGAATGGGACCGTCCAAAGGAATAGGAAGGGCCATTAACGAAGATGGACGACTTGGGCCGCACTTTAAGGGTTGTAGACTCGACCTGATGCTGACGTTTCTTATCTGCGGGCGCTATCTTTATAGTCAGCAGTGCTGACTATTAGCCCAAACACTTGTTTTATCTATCCGAATACTTCTTGTGAAGATGTGTACACGGACCCGCACCTGCGCCGCAGCATTTAGAAGAATGGCGATCCGTTGTCTTGATGGAAATGTTTAAAACTGAGCAATTTACCCAAATTTCTCTGCAGACCCAGCGAATTAGTAGGCACTTCTAAGATTTAAAGGTACTTCTATATGTGAGTTCATTTGTCAGAGTTACTGCTGCATTGGGGGTAAGAAACACCCATAATGATCAGACTCACTTACTAGCGACCGGAGAAATTCGGCCTCCGCCCCAAACCGACCGGAGGCTGAAGTTTGACTGCGGCTGAGGACGTTACAGCACCCGCCCCAGCTCTTCACTCCCTTGCTTTCGAGTCACGCAACATCACAGATACACACCCGACCAAGCAACGCAGACAGACTTTCTTGTCGGGCCCTGTGTTCTCTGTCTGACGGTGCCTGCAGCTGCTGGTGGTGCATTATTTTGTGTGCGGGTGGGTGCGCTCTCGTGCTCTTTATTGAAGCGCCTGTTTGTGCCGATCTCCTCTGAGGTCTCTCACGCCTTCCCTCTCTTTGTCTCGTCTTTTCCTGTCTCCTCTCCAGCAGCTAGCTACGCACCACAGCAGTTGAGCAAACAACCCAACCAAGTGGAGAGGGAGAGAGAGACGCCACGAGATACAGTAACAAACTAACGAAGGAAGCCTCATCTCCTCTACCTACCGAACCATGTTCCCTCTTATTATGGATCCTCTTATAGGTTAACTCTCAGACAAGCACCGCAGGAGGGTGTGAATCCTCGACTCTTGTAAGGTACAAGAGGCCTCCGTGAGCAACGGTCGTGGGTATGGGCGATGCGTAGAAAGCACCGGACAGACAAAGGTTGACAGAGTTGGATCTCGGGTGAGAGCCGAAGGGACAAGGATAGAAGTGACAGAGGGGTGCGAGCAGAGCGAGGGCACCGCCATCGGATAAGCCGACGTGGCGGGGACTGAGCTGGCACGCTGAGCTGGCACGCTGAGCTGGCAGGCTGACGTAGGCCAGCAGCCAGGAAGACACCGCCGTAGCGGGGACGAAATAGGCCGCACGAGATGGCGTGCGGCGTATCTCTCTCTCGCGCATACAAATAGATGCGATGCAAAAGTGTGCAGCGAGGACGAAAAGTTCTACCGCGTAGTGTGTAGGTTCTCAACGGACAAGAGGCACTCACATCACCCCCCCGTTTTGTTGGTGGTAGCGCTCCCTCCAACAAAACTCGAGCAGTATGAGGGACGAAGCGACTGAGAGGCTACATACTACCCCCCATTTCTTGGTACGCTCAAACGCAAAAAATGTGCGGGATCATTCTAGAGGACGATGCGGGTGAATATGAAGGACAGAACAATGACAGCGGACAGGGCGAGCGTGTATGCTCGGACAAGAGAGTACTGATTGGTGTGTCATGCGGTGAGAGACACGAAAACAATAATTTGCCAGGATCGACAGGAGAGAATGGGACAGAGAGCGTAGAAAGGTGTGGAACACAGCAGAAAGATGCTGTGGCCTGCAGGACAACAATTAGTTCGAGGGCGCATGCGGCGAAATGACGCTGTGCGGTGGACAGAGTGATCGATCGCAATATTGGAGATCCTGGGTGTGCTAAAGCAAAGTGGACGCATCGTGGCCAGACAGTATTGGTGCGAGCCAGGAGCACGGACAAAGACAGAGAAGTCATGGCTGACAAGTTGGATAGCGGCACAGTTTCCAACATAGATCATGTATGGAACAGGAGAGTCAGTCGCTTTTCTGGGGATTGGAAACCTATCCCGCGCCAGAAAAAATGCACACGGCGACAACCATGTCTCGAATCCTTCAACCGACCCTCTGGAGGGCATTAGAGCGGGGAGAGACGAGGGCGTGTGGTACCCATGAAACCCGTGGAAAGATACGGTGTTCGTCGTGTATGATTATCACTCTTCTCGAAGAATCGTCCGTGAAATCAACCCCCCTGTGGCGGAAAGTCACTGCCACTCTCAAGACGCCACAAGTAGTCAAAATCTCGTGTACTACTCAACGAGTGGGAAGGACCAGACACGATACACCTAGGGACAGAAAAAACCAAACCACGATGATCCATGGACACACGACGCTAACTCCTGGAAACACGACAAGGTTCCCAGCCTAAAGACGTGCTTATACGATCGTAGGGCGTGCCTGTTAGGAAAAGGACAGCCCCGAGGTGCGTGTGCGCGGTACGACGCACGATCAACGCAAAGGAACACCAATGAATACAGACGACAGAAGACAGACAGCCATGAAAGAGGCGTACAAAAGTAGCCACGAAAAAATACTGCCGGCTACAGTACATACTGACAGACACGCGGGCGCCGGGCTTCGGTCGTTGCAAAAACCGAGGCAGACATACACTGGACACAACAGATAACACGCGACACAACTGCCCTTACGTGTTCCGACGGCGAGACGAACGGCGCCGTGACTTCTTGCGTGGCGGGTCGAATGCCGAGGGATGTTCAGACATGACTACAGCTCGATAGGAATCGATCATTTCCCGACATTGTGGGAGGGTGCTGTAGTGACGCCAAACTCCACACTGTGGAGGCTGGCCTTGCAGTTTGAGGTGGTATTGGAAATTATCCACCGACGCTTTGCCCACCCCCCGTTTATGACCGTCGATGGCTTCGACGACATACGGGCCGATCGTGACGGTGTGCATAGAGCCATCAAGATCAGGGACAGGAAGGGCTGTTCCGAGGAACATGTCGTCTAGAGCCTCAAAATCGGGGACAGGGGACGACGTAGGTTGGACAAATGGTTTCATTCGACCCAAGTGGACGGTGACTTCTGCGGGGTCGTTGGGTTTTGAAACACGATAAATGACAGGAGAGATTTGAGATCTGACAGTGTATGGCCCGTGCCAAGGACTAACGAGCTTGGGGTTGGGGCCATCAGTTTCGTTGTACGGGCGGTGGAGCAAAACCTGGTCGCCCATTTTGAAACTAGGGAAGGACAATTTCTCGTTGTCGACAGCTTGCTTATCCGTGCGTTCTTTGAGATTGCGACGGGCCAACTCGTAAGCGAGTTGCAGATTCTCTACGGTGCGACGCGAGTAGTCAAGACGACTCTGCGGAGCATCGGTAGCGGGAACTCCGAGAATAAGTTCGACAGGCAGGGTAGGGGCACGGCCAAAGACGAGATAATGGGGTGTTTCCTCCAATGTCTTGGAATAGGCTGTGTTGTGTGCAAGCTGGACAAAAGGCAACAGTTCTGACCAATTATCACAAGCCAGGTTGCTATACATGGCAAGCATATTGTGGACAATGCTGTGGACACGTTCGAGAACAGAATTCCCTTGCGGACGGTACGCGGCCGTGCGGGTTTTCTTGTACCCAAAGACAGTTTGCAATTCTTTCACGAGTTGGTTTTCGAATTCTCT